GGTGGATATAGCTCGCTCGCACCGAGGACCTATCCACGTCATCGTTTACCCAGAATGCTTTGTGTGTAAATAAAATGGCTCCGTCCGTGTAATATATTTTTTAACTTTTAATTTAAAAATTATAAAAAATAAACATCCTACAGTATTTTTACAGTCTTTATTTTACATTTAAAATATATGTTTATCAAATAAAATCTAATGTTACGACTAATCGGGGATCCCTTTTGAAGAATGTTGAAGATGGCTCCATTATTTTCAATGAGAACAAAAATGGCCAAAAAAGCTGGATATCTCAAAAAGTATTGCTGAAATACCAAAAGTCATAGCTGAAACATCCTGACGGAGATGAACACTTTGACGCATGAATTGTTAAAATAGCACAAAGATTGTGGAACGGGATACTTTTCATCKTTATAATTGTTCTTTAGGAAATGAAAACTGTTGCTCAGAACATATTATCCTTATGAACAGTTAAACATTAGCAGAGTGGGACTGAATCAGTCTGTTTGGTCAGACAGAACGTGATGAGCTCTTCATGTGTCCACTCTCCTCTCTAACTGGATGGAATTAGGCCGCATTATTCTGGTTCTGTCCACACTTCCAACCCACCAGGATCTCCACACAGCTGGAGCAGCACACCCGYTTGATGCATCATTTATTTCATGCTCCATTGTACCTTGCCAATGAAGCATGKCGTCGTAATGTTGCTAATTTAACGGCGCCTCCCCACGGTAAAAGGCTACTCCCCTTTAATTAAAGCAGAGGTCCGTCCGTTTATTGCCTCTTCCTCGCCGCTAATCGTTCTCCGAGCGAGCCAGGCGGAGTGCGCTTCGGATAATTAATGGCAATAGCTCAGGCGAAACAGAAAAGTAAAATCGGCCGGGGGGGTTGGGCGGACGGCGAGACGAGAGAACTTCACCTTTGGTTAAAAAGTGAAACTTSAATCACGGCAATGATCAACCAGACGTTTGAGTCAAGTCTTTAAGCACACAGATCCTAAACATAAGWGTTTCTACAGCAGGTAAAGAACATTTTATTTTAAATTTTTTTTACATCCGAAAAGCATTCTGGGTAAAGAAAACAAACCTGGAAGAAGAAATGTTCAGACATAGAGCCATTGTATCTGATCATTAGGATTGCCCTGCCCAGTTCAATAGAATGGGAGGCAACCTATWACTATCCACCTCTGAACTGGACTCTGTTTTTATTTATTATTCATCCTAAAACTTCGGACATTAATTAATGAGRCATAATGAGCTAAAAATTAGTACACTAATTCAATTCAATTCAAAAATACTTTATTGATCCCAGAGAGAAATTTGGTAAGTAGTAGCTAAAGGTCACCTCTATCACAAATAGTAGCCGAAATCAAAAAACCAAGATGGCCACCATAGCTAAGTTCAAATTACTCCAATTCAGCCAATTTTCAATATATTGAGCTGATAATTGATACACAAGTAGCCGACAGTGACCTCTACCAAAAATAGAAGACCGAAATAAAAATCCAAGATGGCCGCCATAGCTATTTTCAAACAGCTTTCGCTCAGCCTCTGTTTTTGAGTTGAAACTTGGTTTACTGGTAGCTGAGAGTAACCTCTGTCACATACTGGAGCGGAAACTTCAAAAACAAGACAGCAGCCGAAGGAACTTCGGCTACTTTTTCTCAATGCAAATGAATGGAGATATTTTCATCATGTCTGCACCCACACAAGTTATACATCAAAACGACCGGCTCGGCCAGGGGAAGTGTGTTCTTACTCAACTGTACATTCATTGTTACCATGGCGAGWCAGTAGGCCRACAAAGACACCCTAYAATGCYATTGGAAATGAATGGGGAAGACCYCAAASGCTTCTAAACCTGAACACTTTTTAATGTRTCTCATGAACCACTGATTTTAACTTTATAAAACTCTAACACAGTCATCATAGAACAGTCCTCTGTTACTGTCYAACACATTTGTCCAACTCAGATACAAAATGACTGTCCAAGCAACCCTGGATTACCATAWAAGTGTTGGACATGAGCACCTTTCTGAATGTATWTAAAGTGTGAAASAAAGTGTGAAAGATTTTTAGAAAAAATTATCCACTTTATTAGAGTATTCAAGTCTTACAAATGACAAAAATAAAGTAGAAAAATGTCTGTTAGCAAAATATTTCATGTACCAAAGCAAAAATTTTGCCAAAATACACACAAAATGACATAAATCAGCAATTTATTGACCTTTAAGGATAAAATTTGCTAAAGTAGTTGCTTAAACCTCAAACACATGTTAAATACATCTTCAGGACGGCCTCTAGTACTAATTTTAAACAGCAAACAAAAACAAAAACATAGGACGAGTTTTGCACAGCTGGCAATCCTTTCATAGTTTCTCCAGGAACTATTCTAGTTTATTTTAATTCTTCTTATATTTAGCTCTTTAAAAGTCTTTAAAATTCAAACRCCACAAACACTGTCACAATAAAAGGTGGTGTCTCACAGGGCTGAGACTCCCGGGACAAGTTGGAGACAAAACTGAGAGAAAAGACTTTAATTTCACTTGAAATCACAGGAGACGTTTACATAAACTTCTGCKAATTCTGGACTAAAAATTAGTTGGAAATTTATGCATATCTGCAAAATCTACAGCTCTAGAGCCCTAAAATGGATCAAAGCAAATTCTAAAGGATCTATAACGAGTTCAAAACCCTTGGAAGGACTTTGACTATTTTGAGACAACAATTATTAGTTTTATTTGCGGGTTTTGTGAAAAAAATCCCCTTTAAGCTCTGAGCACTGTGGCGCCACCCCGCTGCTTTTACATCTGCCTCGTGGACAGTCAACTCTCACTGAGAAGATCTTTGTCATTAAGCTGATGGTTTGTTATTCAGACTAAATGACACAGTGTGTGCATGTGTGTGTGTGTGTGTACTCTCCGCAGCGTCCAGCACCAGCTGATCCGCTTGTTTGCTCGTGGTATTGAGGAGCAATGAGGAGCAGCGAGGAACCAAGCAAGAAGACTTGAAAAGATGGAAAAGAGCAATTTTTCTATAAAAGAAAAGATAAACATTTGAATCCTAAAACTTGCCTCATAGGGCTTAAAGTAGCAGTGATATCCTTCAGGCTGTTAGTGAGACTTTGGCTCTATTTAAACCTAAAATACTTTCTTTTCTGTTCACCTTTTGGGAAATAAAGCAGAGCATCTCAAAGAGAGCTGGACTCTCCCTGCCACAACTGCAGCAGGTTTCCATACGGCTATGAAGGACATAAATGACACCTTTTTTTTTTTTTTTTGTAGAGACGATAAAGGAGAAAGCAGCTTTGTGGGAGGGATAAAGAAAAATGCTTTTAAAAAGATAAACTTTGAAAACACACAAAGCTGATCTTTCCTTTTTAGGAAGAAAAGAAAAGGGTTTGACATGTGACCCAGGTGAAAGCAGATATGAGCCACAGGCGCTAATAAAAAGAAGTGAATAGCTGCTAATACACTAACAGGACCCTGGTGGCTGCTGGCTGATAAGGCGAAGCGGCTGCTAAGTGATTTGGTGAGACTCTGCACCGCTGCGCTGCACCTGTGGCTCCCCCCACCTGAAACTGACAGGATGTCGTGTTGTTAGAGACGATCGGCAGYCCTCACCTGAAGTTAGCCTCCTTTAGTTCTTTGTAAGGTCGAAGGTCAAGCTGGGCTTGATGTCACTGAAGCTGGAGTCATGGAAAAAAGAAACTGTTCTGAAATGTTTGTGAATTAAAATGAAAGTACGCTAAAATGCATGAAGTTTCYTCGTACTTATTTGTGTGTGAGATTATTAACTTTACAGGTGTCGAGAAGCTTTAACGTTAAGTTTCCTTCATTTACAGCTACAGCTGGATTCAAGATGGCTGCCACAGCTAACTGACTTTAAAAATACACAAAAATAACTGGTTGGTTGGTTGGTTGGTTGGTTGGTTGGTTGGTTGGTTGGTTGGTTGGTTGGTTGATTGATTGATTGATTGATTGATTTAGGTTTTTTTCCCCATTTTTTTCCAACAGTAACAAATATTTTACATTTTTTTGGCTGTATTATACAACATGCCTATATTTCTCAATTTTCCAAGAGCATGTACATCAGGGCTATTCAACCAAACCGTTCCGGGGGCCACAGTTACTGCAGGCCAACAGCTGAGGGGCCGAACAGCCAGCAAATACAGTCATTGTGTAAATAAAGTAAAGTATTACAAAGATCTCTTACTTTTGATTTAGTTAATTTTGCTGCATTTAATCATGAATACAACATACAGAACATTATGTAATAAATAATAATAAAACAATATCAAAAACAAAAATGACACATTATGCCTCCTATTTAACACAAATAGTTTTTGACATCCCAACAAACCAATTTTATTTTCACTTTTCATAGTTTTATCTTCAACTACTTGTAGTTTTAACCGTCTTGGACATTCATAGAAATGGTTTTTTACCAGTTTCTAGCCAAGGTTCTGACATTTCTGTAGATACCAAACGTGAAGAACTTAGAGTAATTAAAGTAGAAAACCGGAGGTTTGGGCTTAAGAGATGAATGAACTAAATGGCGGGCTAAACTGGTCATTCGCAGGTCGCCAGTTGAAGAGCCCTGATGTATAGTATTTACCTGGTGCAGTATAATTTGGCTAGGAAATATGACATGAATCAACAAATACAGCCATAATGTAACAAAARCAGACTAAAACCCTGCATGTAATCCAACCTGGAAAGACTGGCACAGGAAAATAGCAGTTACCGCAAGAGAATTGCAGCTGTGTTCTTAACTAGTTCATTTCTATTTTGTTAGAGCAAATGTGGTTATTTTAATGGGCGGTGGGGTGTTATATTGACTGTTTCAAATTATTGTGGGGGTCATAACTCCAGCCCCCCTGCATACCCATGGGAATAATAGATTAGACTGACAGGAGCAGTTATCACAAAAAATATTTCTTTGTTGTAACAATTCTTTGTCTTACACCATTGGAAAGTCTGTTAATTTCTCTTTAAAATTATGCCACATTTGTAAGGAACATTTGTTAGTACATGTTATAAGATTAATTGCTAAGAAGCATTGTTACAACAAATAAATAATCTACCAAACACTAATTTATTTACTTTTATGCTAAGTGCTACATTTTTAAATAAAATTTCTTCTTCATATCCTTTGTGTTTTTCTTAACAGCTGCATCTTTAACGCTCTTCTGTCCCTCCTCTGGACATGTCTAACCGTCATAATCTACTCCATCCTCCCAAGGAGAACCTCAAACTGTACAACACAGCTGGTCTCATCACTGATATTTGATTTTTTTTTTCCTTTTACGTTTGCAAATCAAAGAATCCAGCTTTCATTTCTGACCTASTTGTTCCAACATTCTTGCACTCCTCATAAAAGTACTCTGGTTTTAGGTTTTCAGGGGTCATAGGTTTCCAAGTATCTGTTTTCTAACCAAGACAAAATAAATGAAAAATATTATAGTTTGAATCTTCTCAAATGAAGTGAAATAATCTGCCAGTCTTTGTAAAACTAAAATTCCAGGCTAACAAAATTAATCTAATCTGTTCCTCATCAAAGTCTTAAAACAAGATCAAGAATAGTTTTTGGCTGAAATAAGATTGTAAGGTTTGGTTAGATGGACAATTTTTTGCAGTGTTTAAAAGTTAAAAGTCATAAATCTGGCTAAGTTACAAAAAAAAAGCTCTTCGGGAATGGACTTCTTCTTTTACTTCCTATAATAGAGTTTTGTTAGAAATACATGATCCAGCTTGGTCCTCTATACCTCCCAGGCTTTGATTTGTTTTTCAGGTTTTCTATTATAAAAAAAATATCCACAACGGGGGAGACGTACCGTGTGCTGCACTGTTTCTGAAGTCAGAACTCATTTTACTTCACATCCAACTTATTCCAGTTAAAAGTCAGAAAACAAACGAGTTTTCTTGTAGGTAACTTTACAAGCTGATACAACAAAAAGTTTGATATGTTACTGGGATGTCAGGCTGGAGACCAAGTCTTGACTTCTTTGACTCAGGAGGCGTCCAGCTGTGCAAAAGGAAAAAAAAATTGTATAGGTCCTCTGGACGGGTTCTTCTTTAATGAAACGTTTCGTCTCTCTTCCAAGAGACTTCTTCAGTCTG